AAATCACTTCAGGACAAGCCCAAACACCCCGAAAGCTCTAGATCTCAAGACTTCTCAAAGCCCCGCAAACAATGCACTCGAGCTTCACCAAACGAAAAGTCTCTGCTCATGTCTCAGGTCCAGCCAGGCGAGGCTCTGCAAAATCTCAACGCAATGCGAGCTGTCCAGGCCCTGCGAATCAAGAGAACAAGAAACCAGACATATCTTACAAGGTTGAATAAATAATTCACAGTAGCACCACGCACAGAGATGCGATGAGATAAGCTAGTGCTCAGACATGGCCTCCAGGAAGCCGCGTTGCGCCAGGCCTGGCATGCGCTCAAACGGCCTGCAGGGAGAACATTCAAGTCTGCTCTAGGAACAAGTTCAGGGGTTGGGAATATTGAATCAGTCAGGGAAGTGCCAAGGGTCCAAAAAAAGAATAATGGCCAAAGGCTCATGCAAGCGTAGACTCCTCTTGTAACCTCTTGCGGTCCCCGAACAATCTCCCTGCAATCAGAGGCCCTCCAAGTTATTTTTCCAGTCTGCCTCCAACGGAAGAACTGGGACGACGGAGCCCAGGTCCAGGAAAGGTGTCCTATCCCGAAAAATGACAAAGAAAAAACCTTCCATGACAAAACAGCTTGGCAAGATAATTAAGGGTCCTCCCCCAAAAGACGTAAGAGCTAATTGGGTAACAATTTCGAAAACTAATTGAAAACAGTTTCTCCAGCTCATTTTTTGCGCACAGTGTCCTGTCAGGGAGCCGGTGAACCTAAAAGCTCATGGTGAGGGGATGCTGTCTCAAATATGTTTCTGTTGTAGCTCTACTTTCCTCACTAGGCTAGTTCCTAAATCCTCTTATGCGCACAACAACACCTGAAACTCCTTGGAGCCCCAAAAGAGCCATAATTCTAAAGAAAAATGAAAATGTTCCTCACTTCATGATCAAGAAACACGGAGAGGGCTGCCAGGTCACGCTGCTGGAGCTTTGCCAATGCGGATAGAGATCCGAGGGCCTTTCACCGGAATGTGCGGCTTTGATGATTTTCCAAGTTTTTAGGTTAGGGCTCTTGGGTTCAGGTTCTGGCATTGAACTTGAAAAGTTTGAGGTTGCAGCATGGTCCTCAAAACTTAGATGTTCCAGGGTCTGGGCACTTAAAGAAAAAGAGGCCCGCTCTCAGGATCTTAGTTCGGGAGAAAAAAACAAGAGAAGGATATCCCTTTGCCTGCACCGGCGTGAATGCCACTTGGGCTCCGGAGGCAGCGTAGCTGGCAACATGCCTAGTCTGCGGAAAGCGTTGACAAGTGAAAAATTGTCAAAAGTAAGGACCTCTGCAGCAGCAACGACAACAACAACAACAGCAAAGCCAATGACTTGCAGCAAAATCCTTCCGGGATCTTCCGGGCTTGAAAAGCAGCAAAATTGGAATAAAACACTGATGCAGTTGCTCACAAAGCTTCTGCAGTGCCGGGAGGAGCTCAGAGGGATCAGATGTCTGTCGCAGGCGACAGAGAGCCGTCAAAATGTGTTGGATGGAGATGGGCTGCAAACGCCGCGCCCGGCTGACTGCAGTTTCGAGCAGCGGCTTCTGACCGCTCGGCAGTCCTCACAAAAAAACCCTACTTTTGCAATCAATGCTGCTACGAACTCTGTGGAAAGAGTCACGCTTTTCAGCAATCCGCAGCCTCCAAAGTAGGAGAAGACGTTGATGAGATTACACAAGCTCATTGATTGCATGCGGGTTTGCTGCTCTGCCACAACTGGTCCAAGGGCAGCCAACAAAGACTCGTGCTGATGCCGTAATTTCAGCAAACCTCTAGCGAGACGCACAAGGTCCGCCTCCGACAGGTCACGAGCTCTCCTAGCCAACTCATCACACAAAGCGTCAAGGGAATCGAGTGGCAAAGCATCGCGGATCTGGAGGCTGCTTAGCGAATAGATCACATCGCAGAGTTGGCTGAGAGGAATTTGATGGACCCCTTCCTGAAGAGTTCTGGCACCGAGAGTAAACACGTCATCATCATAGAACTCCCATCTACTGCACACCAACAGCAGTGACGCTGCATCCCCGGCATTCGGAAACCCAGTATGCAGCAGTCGCTGGCAGATATCGTGCAGCAAGATAAACTCCTCAGGGGATTCGGGTACTAAGAATTGAGATCTTAAGGTCTTCAATGCAAGAGGTGTATGGGATTTGGGGCATCTTCTCCTCGTGGGGGTCACCCCGGCCCAGGGCACGGGCCATGGGTGCCAAGGCAGTTGGTCGCAGGTGCTCCATCTGTTCACAGATGCGCCTTGGCTGCAAGAAGTATTCACTACCTGTAGGACCTATGTGTTTTCTGCTTTATGACTGCTTATGACAATAACATTGGGTCAGTTCATGAAACTTGCAATGAGGGCAATCAAACGTAGACTTGGAAGCGGTCCAGGATCCTGGTCAGGCGCGAGAGGAGCCAGGGCTCCCCCGAATTCAGGCGACTCAACGCACAGAAGAAATCTGAGACCTCGTCAACGCTCAAGGAGAGATCTCCTTCTTCACATTCCTCAGCGATTCCCTCCACAAGTAATTCCGGCTATATCTTTTAGGCAAAGACACACCATGAAGTCCCCAAAGCGAACCGCCTTCTTGAGACCCCGAAGATTCAGGGGTGTGGAGTCTAGTAGTCATGGTTTCAGGATATCTGCTGAAGCGCAGCGGTGGGACTTGGTGACTCGCTACGGCACCAATTTTACATGCAATGAAACCTTTTTTGCCCTACCCACGTCGCTGCTGCGATAAAGGCGCGAAGAACTGCAGCACTGTGAAATATTGGCATAGAGAAACAAAGGTCCCAAAATTGTGCATTGGATGCCCAAAATGGAAACTGGGTCCACATGGTAGCCCAGACTCTTCCTTTAGGCCAGCCTGCCTTGCCACATCCCTCGCCAGCCTTGCGGCTTGCTCCTCGCTGAGCTTCCGCAAGGCTACCCTCCCTGCGGTTGCGAGGCTGCAGTAGACAGCCAGCGCCTCAAAGCCCGAGCCCAAAGCAAAACAAACAAAGCATCACAAAGCCAGCCCCAACACCACTCGAGTTTTAAGACTTTCTCCTTGCAGAATCCTACGAGCCTCAGGGCCAAAGTCTCGGGTCCTTTCGCAGAGTTGCCGCGCAAAGTGCTGCGTGAGCTGTAGGCCGCTTGTTGCGAAGCGAGGCCCTGTTGGGTCACCTGTGTGAACATTAGCTATCTCGTCATGAGCTCTCTTTTGGGGAAGCCCTTTCCCAGCCTTCCTCGCGAAGAAGCTCCAGGATGCGAACCAACCTTCGTGTCTGCAACTGGGCTTTCCGGAGTAGCGGCAAGAAGCCGGCGACAGAGATGCGCAGCTGAGCAGCTGCCTCCACAGCCGGCAGCACCTGGGAAGGCTTCAGCCGTGGCCCACAGCGTTCCAAGGTCACCGCCCAGCACCTTCGGAACTCCTCCGGGTCTTTCAGCTCCTTCCCGTGCGTGCGCTGTGCGTTCCCGTTTGCACACAGGAGCCGCAGCAGGAGCTGCAGGTGGCTAGGGCGGAGCCCTGGCCAGAAGAGCCCAAAGAGCCGAGGTAGATAAGTCCTCGAGGTCGAGATTTTCGAGCTCTGTGCCTGAACGATCGCAAGCAAACTTCCACCCGGGCGCAGGCGCAGGCGCAGGCGCAGCCGCAAGAGGCTAGGCAAGCGACGCATTGAGCTTTGGCTCTAAGACCTCCTTCTCACTGAGCTGGCACTTACAATGCAAGTGCTGCTTTCCCTACAGTTCAACTCACGTGGCCGGAGCTTTTGCTTTACTTATGTTTAGCAAGTCAACACAGATTTTGACCTACCAACAACTCTGCATGCCTCGGTTTCGTGGCAGGTACTGCATGAAGTTTGAGGTCTACCGCGGAGGCATTTTGAGCACAGCATACGGACAAAATCGATTTCTCGAGTTGCACAGTTGGGATTGAGGATGTTGGCCCGTCTCACAGGTCACAACTCACATGACTTCCCTTTTCATCCCTTTTCGTCTTTCATCTTGTGCCGTCACATCACTGCTGCAGTTCCACGCAGATGCCTGGATGTGGGACTGATATTGCGCGCACATCGGATGAGGAGCTGTGATGACCGCTTTGCCCGCAACTTGTCCAAGTGATCAATACCATGATCGCTATAACAAATACTGTTTGTTTGCTCGTGCTTCTGCTGCCTTATTCCTTACTTCCACTTTGGCAGAGTAGCTGCAAAGATGATCATTCTGACATCTGTATGACTTGCTGTTACCTGTATGTATGCAAAATGTCTCTTGTTGCCAACTGCAGGTGGTACATACTTCGGTTTTTGTTGCGCAAATACACCTGCAGAACGCTACGTAAACTTGGCCGATGAACGTCATGCCACATCGGCAAGTCTTGCAAATGAAGACATGTATGAATGCCTTGACGCACGGCAGGAACTGCTTGGGACGTCTGAGGCCGCAGGCAATGCTTGGCGACACCAAAGAGTGGATCGCCACCAAAGGCCTTCTCCAAAGTGCTCTTGCCGCAGTAGGTATGGGAGAGTGAGCAAGATTCGTGGCAATCATACTGATCACGATCACCAGAAGAAAGCGATGACAACGTTCCACATGAGCCGGTTGTTGTTTGCTTGCCACAACGCAGGGCAAGGAGCACCAGTACAACAATGGCGATTGAAATAACAGCATATGACCGCATGATGAAAAGCACTCACTACTGCGTGATCCGGGGCACATGTATCAATCAGCTCCTCCTTTCAAAAAACGCTATGAGCCGCGCAACCCCAAACCGTCAACCCTCAGCTCACCGGGCTCCCCCGCCTGCGCACCACAGCGGATTTCCTTGGACACCGCCCGTGTGAAGTGCTGCGTCTGCAACAGCTCCGCCTCAATTGCTGTTAAGATGAAAGGCTTTTTCACTTGACGCCTAAAGCTTTGGGCTTTAAGGTTACGGCTTGGGGTTGAAGGCATAGGGCTGAGGGGGCTTAGGTTTCGAAGTTCTGTCAGTGGTTTCCCTTCATGCTCCACACTTTCGCTGCGAAGTTGAAGAAGTCTTCATGGCGTATGTCTTGCGCATGAGTGTACCAATGAAACCATACCCCCCAACAAGCCAAGCAGCTAGCTCCGTCTGCTGATTGCTTCCACAAGCAAATCGCCGACCTACAGAGCAGTCACGAGGAGTCGACCTTCCACTTTTCAACATGCTGTTGTGGGAGACGGTATACGTTTACCGGTAAAGCTCCAGCATCAGGGAACAAGTAGTGCACTGAATGACTTGGCCCACACAGCCCTCTGAAAAGCTTCCAATCCAATATCCAAGCTTCTGCGCGTCATGGTGTGCTTTACAAGGAGTAAATGCGCACAAGGACTAGCCAACTTACGTGGGCAGCAGAGCAGGATCTCTGCTTTCTAGGATCTCCTTCTCCTGGAGAAAACTCGCCTTGCGCATTTTATCGAGCCCCGAAAAACCTATGAAGCGAGAGAAATGAATCACCATCATGTGCTGCCCCCATGGACAGCCACTATGCTGACCAAGAGACCGTAGAAAACATTGCCAGTGCACTTGCAAAGACCACCATCATTCGCACCTTTGAGCACTCAAGATCTGATGGCGGGACATTTCTTTGATTGTTTCTTGGATCGCAGATCATTACCTTGCGACGCTTGTTGTCATCGTTCATACTGAGCAGGGAACACTTGGAGGTAGGCCCGTCATGCGCGGCAATGGCTCGTTGGACCTTGAAGCGTGATCAAAAACAGAAAGCGCAGCTGACTGGAACCTGGAACTTTCCCCATGTTTGATGTCGAAAGCTGAAGCCAAGGCCTGGCTTCGCTGGTAAAGCGCTCCCGCAACCTCAAAACACACAGGAAAGTCTCTCAGCCCTTTCCCGCAAGCCCTTCCCTTCCCCCTTGCAAGAGGTCTCAACATCCCGCTAGCGGAAGCTCTAAAAAAGGCTTGCAACAACCCCGAAGCACTCTTTAGTGAAATTGCAATGCGCAGGGTTGTCTCACACGAAGCTACTTGTGCAGGGCAAAGCTACACGGTGAGGAGCATGACTAAGACCCAACTACAACTGCTTACTGAGTCTCTCCATTCAAGCAAAAACTTCATGAACCAGTCTACTGCGGTCTTGGGGTAACCAGCAGGCCCAGATGCTGTCGAGTTGTCGGTTGTCAGGTCGTAGCACCAGTATGCATCTGCGAACCCCTGCAGTCCATCTCCCAAGCTAACTTAGAAACAACACAGGTAACGACCTTGACCCTCACTTGAACAACCTGCCTGTGAGTTGAAGAGGTGATAAAGCTTGCGAGACAGCGGCTGCTTTACGGATCGTCTCTCCCAGTACTTAAGAGCCTGAAGCATTCAGGGTTAAAAGTCTTATTGCTGGGAATTCAGTGGTTGGGTGTTGCGGTCGTCACAATAATGCACCGAACTACAATCTTCTGTGTATGATCCAGAAGCAGCATCGATGGAAAGCTTCTGCTTTAAGACCTCCACGAGACCTGACGGTCTGACGCTGTGCTTCCCAGAACCCGGCAAGAAGGAAGATAGACTGCTGCGAGGTAGGTTATGGGTCTGCAAAGCGCGCATCTCTTTGGGTGGTGTAGAGCATTCCTGACAGAAAGATGCAGCAAATTCTGGATCCCGCCCTAGCTGCCTGTGGGAACGAAACTCTCGTCGCCATCAAAGATGAAACTCTTGAAGGTCCCATTGCTCCTGACACGCTGCACTCCACATCCCTGCGCGGTAAGATTGCAGCAGCTAAGAAGCATGATCCACCGCAACATACCGCAACATCTCTGCATGTTACCACAAAAGTCTGAAACACGTTCTATGTGACATGTACGTACTGTGTCTCAGCGCATGCTTTATCACAACTTTTGTCATTCCGTACATCTTCATATGCTACGGATGTGGATCATGCCTAGAAGACACATATTATGTATGAAGGCAGTTTGAGATGTACCTCTTGCGGCTGAAGAGCTGGAAGAGTTTGATGAGGGCAGGATGCGATATCCCCTCACCTAAGCCTGCCCAGCGCACTGAGCAAGGCACAGCTGGATCATCATAGCCTCATCTGCACAAATGCTTTGCGGTGTGCAAGCTATGCTCATGCAAAGTGTAGGTTAGGTATGCTTAAAGGGAAGCAAACACCCATGCATTTACAAATTCATGTCCTTGCAACGAGTCTTAGATCGAGTTGCAGCACATGCCAGATTTGGGCACCATGTCCTGCTGGCAGCCAAGGCGAGCTCAAGAGATGCATGAGAGTATGTAACAGCACCCAGCAACAATGCACCACATGTAAACACAACTTATTTACAACTCACACTGCTATTACTTACTATTGCTACTCGCTACTACACGTACAGCATCGACTTGACCTGCCAAAAAAACACTCTGACGACCGTTGATCTGAAACTCACTGCTCCAGGCGGGCCCGCAGGCCTGCGTGAACTACTGAAGTTTAGGGAGTGGCCTCGGGATACTGTAGCGGCGCAAAGACGTATCCAAAATTACGGTAGAAATGACGATCACGTACACCAGATGGTTGTTGAGCTCGTAGTTATCGATGGACTGGGGTAGGAGCATGCCAGGATCGGGGATGGGATGATAATTGCATCGGGAGATGGACCATTGCACCGACATGTAAAATTGCACAAAAAGGCTTGCGTTGTGTCCTTGGGGCAGTGCCTCTGCAGGTGCTCTTTCTGGGATTTCCAGATTGCACCCATCACTTTGCTGCCTTTGCGGCCGGCCAAGAAGTTCGAGCTGAACTGCCCTTTTTGAAATTTTTGCCCTTCCGCCGTGTAGGTGATGATGTCGTGGTCCTGAATCCTGAGTCATCAAGCAAGGCAAATTTCTGAAGCGCGGGAATACATATCTTTAGATGTCGCCAGGCATGCCCAGCGGCGTTACGTTGAAATTCAAGCCCTACGATCCTGCAGAATGATTAAAGCCGCCCACTTGGCTAGGATTCCAACTGTTGGAACACCATCCGGAGAGGAACTTTCATTGTGCAAAGACTATAGCTGGCTCTCTTCGATCCCCATCTGGCTCATTAAAGGGTTCCAGGTGCCCTGATGAATGAAAAATCCTTGGACCCCTGCCCAGAAGCAGTTATGTGAGATTACTATCCACCGTCATGCATTGCGCGCACCCATCCATACGTATGCAAACGGAAGTAAAGTAAGAATATGGATACTCGCAACGCCTAAACCTTCAATCCTGTGCGGACCCCATGTATGTATATATAGTGTGTTATTGTATATATAAAGAGGGGGCCAGGTGGGGGATAACAGATGTCTACCATGAATGAACCTCAAATACACTTTGGTTGACTGATTGTGTTCCCCCGTTCTTTTTGCATCGTCCCTACAAAAAGCGATCAACTTCCCCATGAATACCTCGAGTATGTTGAAGGGTGAGGGTGAACTGAGCCAGGGTCCGATCGATAATGGGTGTCATGTCAATGGCGAGGAAATCGGTGTCCATGTAGACGCCGCCATTGTGATAGATCAATGCATATCCTAGAGCTTGGGGCTTCGTATTTTGCAGAGCTTGGTCTTTCGTGCATGTACTACATCAATAGTAGGGTCTGCTAGGCCCCTTCGCTCTAAGGCTCCTGACCCCAAATCCAGACAGGAAGCCCAAAGCTTGGACTCTAAGCTCATAATTCTCATAATCCTAATCCCAGGATCGTATAGCATCAGATTCAGCAGCCTCGTAAGGAATCCGGAATAACTCCTCAGGAGCATCAGGTATCCTTGGCTTTGGGTGCAGGGCGTGGGAACTTCAAAATTTTTGGCAAGAAACTGGAGTGGCCAAGAACCGAACCTTTCCGTATCGCTGAACAGTCCAACTTACATCCCTGCTAACAACTCAACATGCCGCCAGCCTAGATTGGCATCCTCACCAACCTACTCAAGTCTCTGCAAACCCCCTTGTCGGTAACCAAGACGCCACTGCCGAACATTCGTCCGGTTCACCAGGACCTCATTTGATACGGAAGCCCGATAGCTCTACAACTCTTCGATTTCCACGCAGGAACAGAAAAACTCACCCCTAATCCGTTGAGCCTCCAGTACATGCTCCTCCTAGCTAAGACAAAGCACCACACAAGGATTGCAACAAAAAGGGAGGGCGCATTTCAAACTCAGGTCCAGCCACTGGCTTGCCACAGCGGCCACCCGACGCACGCTCCCAAGATTGCAGGTTGAGATGTATGTATTCCTTACTGGCACAAAATGAAAAGCTACCACAACCCTAACTGACGGCTAAATCATGTTAGGCATACTGACTATTGAGTATGTATGTACACATATAGACATATATATATATATACCGCTGGAAATCACAAGTAAACCTGCGTACCATGGCCGCAACCTTGAATTGCTAGCAAGCGGCAGGGACAGGGCGAGAATAATTCCTCGCGAAAATTCAATTGCACAACTATTCAAAACTGATGCTGGGCCTGTGGATCGAAGCGATGCTGTGCCACTTGGGACCGGACCACATGGTGAAAATGTGACAGTTCTCGATGCGCCCAGCGCGGTGCTTGAAAGCAACATAACTTGGCCATGCCCAACACCACCATGCGAGTATCCTTGGAAAGGCCAAAGACACGCACGTGTGGCACATCCCCGGGTCCCATATGTTTCAAACATGGAGCATTTTACTTCTACTCGGATGCTTGATGACTGCTGACAACATGTGCCAAGCAACTGCCATTGCAGCCGCATCTTGCTCTGGTGCGCTACTTCATTTTTATGAAGCTGCAGCGAACATTCATATCAACAACATGCAGGCCCGAGATTTGCGAAGAGACTGTCCACAACCAAGCATTTGCTCGAAAAAACACGACTAACGCAACAAAACGCCTGTCCGGCAAACGTTTGTCGATAAAACCGCACATGAGGGGCATCGGACAAAACACACAAACGTTCAATGTCTCAACTGCTACAACAATCCGCACTGTTCCCACCAATAAAAATTGTTAGTCAACATTGTTGCGGCGTTGTCCCAATCATCAAGCTTCACATGCACTGAGCAGGTAGCCATGTTGCTCCAAAGCTATCACATGGACTGAAAATGCACTCATTGCCAAGACCCTACCAAAATGTTCCCAAAGCTGTGTTGCTGCTGATGCTTGAAAACTAAAGCTATGTGATTGCAAGCTGCGACATCTGTCACCCATGCCAAAATGCCGCTGCTGTCCTCCACCAAGGCCAGGGATCTGCCCGGCGTCTGTCGCCAGCACCGGCATGGTGGCACGGTGCTGGTCTGCAAGCCAATGGCTGTGCCAGAGACGTCATTGATGAAGATCTGGTAGCCCAACCTCAAGGCACCGAGGCCGAAATAAGCCAGCGTGGTGGTGTCTTGTGCCTCCACGCGGGCGTTCGCGGAGCCCTTTCGACGTGTTTACCCACGCTTGCTCCTTGTTACCTGCTCTCATGGCACCAGACGGCAAGCGTTCAGGTAACTTGTGGAATGGGATCACGACCAATCCCCAACTCTTGGATTAATGCATTCCGGGGCAAGTGCTAGTGAGCATGCGCCGACATCCTGCCATGACTTCTTTGGCTCACCAAGACGCACCACGACCCTGGCCCATTTTGCAGTCAGGTTGGCAAGCAGGTTCAGACAGGCGCAGTTTGAACAGGTCCTTCTCCAGCCCCAACAGCTCGTGAGGGCGTGGAGCATGGTCGCGACATGGGCAATGGATCCGATAGCAGCTGTCGCCCTGGCTGCCACGAATCGCAAACGAACTGCCCGATTGCTGAGGTGGTATTCCCGCAACCTGGCCTGGACATAGAGCGGATGCAATGGATTATGAGAAGGAAGTGGGCCTTCTCTTCCACCCTCGATGATGGCCCTCTAACAAAGCGTCGCTGAATGTCTTGATTCGACAAGCGCCCCCAGGATGAGCGGGTCTTGGGCTTGGGCATCCGAATTACATAATTTTTAGACGCCGTCGCCCGCCGAAGCTAGAGAAATGAGGTAAAAAAAAATCCGGCAGGCCTTCAGCTGTGTCGCCCACCATTTTGCCACGCCAGGTGGGTCTCTGCCAGTGTCCTGCAGATTCGTTGGCACGAACTCAAGTGAAAAGGCGGGCATCGTTGGTAAGCATTTAAGCCCACCGACGCCCCTCTGCTGTTCTTTGCACACTTTCCCAGGTTTGGGTCTGGCCCCGGGAGCAAAAGATTCTTCAGAATGTACGAAGGTTGCGGGCTTTACACTGCAACAGAAGCGGCTTCAAGGATTTACACGTGCAGTCACTCATACAAATCCGGCAGGCCTTCAGCTGTGTCGCCCACCATTTTGCCACGCCAGGTGGGTCTCTGCCAGTGTCCTGCGGATTCGTTGGCACTAACTCAAGTGAAAAGGCGGGCATCGTTGGTAAGCATTTAGCCCACCGATGCCCCTCTGCTGTTCTTTGCATACTTCCCGTTCCGGTCCTTCCTGCGGTTTTCTACCGCTGTCGCAGCGCTGACAACAAACGTCTTGGCAGCGCCTGGGATCTGACTCGGATGGTCTGGTTGCGATTCGAGTCAGCTTGCTCCCACCGTTTTAGAAGAAGCGCATGCTTCTCGTAGCGGCTCACACTCTTCTTGGCCTCCCATCTGCCTCTCTTCTGAATGTCAGCCAGTGAACGCCTTTTGCGGAAGGCGTCATTGGAAGTACCAGCATGCCTCAAAATGTGGGGCATGACACAGGGAGTCTTGTAGCCAAGTTTTGTAGCCGCCTGTTTGAGCCATTTCTCATACTTGGCCAAGGTCAAAGATGGAAAAAGTTCATCAGTGACTTTAGCCACGTACAGTTGCGTGGCTTCGGTGAGCCAGGCCCGGTCTGCTTTGTCTGCCACAAGGACAGAGTCGTCGTACTTGCCCGTTTTGGTGGAGTTGCCTAGGTCAAATGGAGCCGCCACAATGGACCACTTGTTGTAGCGACCACCGGCCGGAAAGCCGATATGAAGTCTACGAAGGCCTAGGCACTCTGAAGGGCGAAGGTAACCGAAGGTACGTGTCTAGCTGAAGCGCCATGGCAAAGGCGATGTCAGGATGAGCTTCATCTATGGCCAGAGTAGCCATGTCAAACACGAATTCTTCTGGCACTGGAAGCCGCATGCCGCCTGGGGCAATTTTTCGCCAGGCTGCCAAAGCCTCTTGGGCTTCAGGAAGAAAGTCAGCTTTCGGCACGGTGCACTTGAGCATGTGAAGGCCAAACACCAGGCAGGCGCCTTCAGAGGGGAGCACCGCATCCTCGAGAGCCAACTGAGTGAGGTAGCGCACCACCAACCGGTCCAAGTTCTTTGCGGTGACTTTTTGTCGCTTGCTGCTGGCCCACGCCTGAAAGTCCTGAACGTGACGGTGGTAACTGTCCAACGTTTTCTGGGTGACCTTGAGGGCGCGAAGTTGTAGCCGAGCTGGAAGCTGCGGCCCGGAGTAGCCGAAGTAGCCAACAAGCTTTGCGAGGTCCTGAGCTGTGAAGTTGCCGAAGACGACAGGGTGTGTCTTGAGGTAGCGCCTGGCGTCGAGGAGGAAGCACTCGTCCGTATCCTGGTGAGCCAGACGAAGAGCTCTTCCGGCAACTGCTTGCCGGAGGCGGTGAGCTCGCAGCTGCGCCTTCTCACGGCCATTGAGGTAGATGGCCACATCCTTGGGAAGCGCGACCCCGAGGCATTCCTCAGGGCACGCCTGCCTAAGCTGCTGAGCCCAGGCTGCACACAACAATTCTGGATAGGCTCCTGCTCCTGCTGCGCGATTTCTAGTAGCGACCTTGCCGTCAATCAGGACTCTCTCAGCGCCGCGAAGTGCAACATGTGTATGAGTATGACTGCGTGTGGACCCCCCACTCGCACATGTGGAAGCTGAAGAAGTGCACGGAGGGGTTCTTTAGGAGGTCCCTGATGGGTCCAAAATCCCATAGTCTACTGCTACGCGGCTAAGTGGACCCCAACAGCCAGGCAAAGACGAATGGCCCGGGCAGTGAACAATGCCAAGGCCACCCCACGTGCTTCTTTTTCTCGAGCTTGCGCGAGTTTCTTGATGTTGCGTCGAGCTCCAAACTGTGCATGGAGTGCCAAAATGAATGCACCACAGCCGACCATCACGAGTGAGATCGAAGATGACCTTTTGGACGGAGGGGTTGAGGAGGTCAAACTGGTGGCCCTTCGCAATCTCCATGTCCGGAAGTGCTCGCATCCCTGCTCCTGCCACCGCTCGAGTGAGCCGCCCCGCGCCGCAGAAAACCTCGAGGAAGTAGCGCGGTGTAGACGCTGAAGAGCAGGAGGAGGTAGCTGAGCAGGTTGGGTTGCCGAAGTTGGACACGAAGTCGGTGAAGTCGCCGGCAGCCTCGCTGAAGAAGAAGAGCGGGATCCCGTAGACGGTGTAGAGCCCAGCCCCAAAATGCCAGCGTCAACGCGAATGCCCTGGGTCGCATCGTCTATGGTGTTCCGCCTTCCTCGGTGCTTGCTGTCGGACGGCCTCTCAAAGTCGGGCCCCCACCTCCGTGATGGTTCATCCGCCACGTTGCGGTCCGTGGTGATGTGGAGCAAACGCCACTGGATTTGGCACCCAATGCTATAAGCTGCGGCCCGGCGACAGAGAGCATTGAGTCCACTAGACCCGCTGCGCCCTTTCTCAAAAGCCAGGCATGCCACCATGCTGTCCGTCAAGGTGAGCGCGGTGGCGCCACAATTTTTGGCCGTCCAGCATAGACGCCTGAGCCCCATCACGCAGACCCCTCGCCTCCTTGATGTTGATGTGCTCGTGTGGGTATTGCCAAGGTCCAGCTGTAACAAGATGCCATCGAAGAGGATCATCCCATTCACGGGCCACCGGAGGAATCGAAGGACCTTGAACCGCTGACGCGGAATTTCTTGATCCAAAAGGCCTCAACATGTCCCGCAGATTCATCTACAGGAGCAACTAGAAAGAAGAGTACAAAACACAAGTGAACATGAACTACATGTGGGCATGTAAAATCGGTAAATTGTTCGTACCCCGCCTCAAAGTAGATCGAGATCAGGGCTACTTTGTCGGAACAATCTATCCTGCCCACATTCTCAAACAACGAGTTACTTAGTTCACATGCTCCTGTGAAACATTGGGCTCAAGTTAGCCAAGCTCAAGGCCTTTGTATACAACTACGGTTTCAAACTAAGGCTGAACTAGCATGCACCTGTACACCCGGCTGGGCCTGTGCATGCAACTACGCTCTTCCCTTGTCCCGGAAGGAATCTCAAAGGACTCCCAAGGGGACAAGAGGCAACACGGGTCGCAAAGGACCTTGCACAAGAGTGCACACAAGTTAACAAGTCGTGCTCAAGTGATGTGGCAGTCCAAGATAAAGTAATGTCTTCGACATAAGCTTCAAGGCGATTCATGCTGGCTCATGCAACAGAAAGTTGCCCAGCAAGGAGTGCGGTTGCGCAACGTAAGAATCCTCACTCTCACATGCGGTAGTGGACCATCTCCAATGTATCCACAACTATACGGCACGATCAAGATTCAAGCTCACACGGATATTTCAAGAATCAGTGCAAAACATGGATGATTGTCAAGGGACTTGCTGAAAATGCACCTGGCATTGCATCATGAACATCACGTAGCTTTGTACAACGCAACTGACTCAATGCGGAGTCCGGGCGGACTAGGCGCTGAGTCAGAGCAGCATCATCAGCATCCCAAGTATTTCAAGGCTTGCAGACTCGGCACGGCCGATGGCCTCGGCACGTGAAAGGCCGATCAGTTCCATAGACATTTGAAGCGCCTTGCTTGCAACTGCCTTTATGAAACTTCTTGCCCTAATGTGGCGCTACCCAAACACGCTGCTGGTTGGGCACAGGCGGATTCGGCACGGCCTTTGGCATGGCCTTTGGCATGGGATCATTGCTTCCCACGGCTGGCTCATGTGGCACATGTCCACCTGCATCATTTGCACCTCTCGGAAACCTGATTTGAATCCCCGGCACTTCGAACAGATCACCCTAATCATCAGTCTCAACCTTTAGTGGCCTGGCTGGTGTACCTGGAGTCGGTACACCCTCTTCTGCTGGCCCTAGGCCGTCGCGAACGTTCACATGAACTTCAACACTCTGCCTGGGCTGCTGGGCAGTGTTTGCCTCACCGGTTGGCCTCAAACACCTCCAAATGAAGAAAGCGATGAATACAAGCAAAAGGACTTGCCCGATGATTGCAAACGCTGCAGGATACTGCTTAACAAAGGCAAGCGCATAACCAAGAATGTAAACCAGAAGATTCACCCATGATTCATCATCATCAGGCTCATCTTGATCATCTGCACCTAGGGCACCTGAGGCCTGCAACGCGCAAAGAAAACGGAAAGCACCTTGGCAGCATCACCTGACCTGTCACGCTTTGCAAAACTTCGGAGATCTTTGCACACTGCTCTGACTGCATTGCCATTCTCCACGAGCGAAGTCTCTGCAATGCCAACACGCTTCAAACCATTATCTGCACTCCGAGTGTCAAGTAGACCCAACACAAACTTAATCCGGGCTGGATGCAAGCTTTTCGTAGCTATGTCAGCAGGGTTGGTCTTAGTACCAGGCACGACGTAAATTTGGCCAGAGGCAACGTGTTGCTGAAGCCAGAGGAGCTTTGCAGCAATGTGTCTAACGCGTCCCACCCTGGCGCTGCATCATCCCTCTTGCAGCGGCCGAATCAACAAGCGAAGCGGTGCAACGTTTTCAGAATAAACAAATTCCACCATCGAGTAGACCAGGAGGATGCCATCAATGGCGCAAGCTACGGCAGAGTACCCTGCCTCAGCAGAGGACAGAGCAACTGTCTTTTGAGACTTGCTACAGCCATGCACGAAGGCACTGTTCACAAGGATGCAGCCGGAAACACTCCGGCAAGAAATCCTGTTTCGGGCCCAGTCGCCATCGGAATAGGCCTCGACCACGTGCTCACCATCCCTTTGGACCGTCAAACCTGATTCTGGCTGAGTGGCAGAAATGCAAGAACAGTAACCACGATGCTGGTCAAGGTAACCGCACAGGTGCTTCAGAACGGACCATGCACCTTTGGTTGGCTTAGCCATGTAGGACTTCGACCATGTCTGGGGCTAGGTACAACAGAACTCCGACAGCACTGCGAAACAAGGAAGCATGTGCATGTTCAAGCTCCGGGTCATTGTCGACCTCTGTTGGCAAGCGACCGACGGGCATCGGAGTGTGACCTTGGCCTTGTGTAACCCAGTGAGCTCTTGGCAGCTATCTGTGCACTTAAATAGCCGGTGAAATCCTCGAACCAACGCTGTGACCCATCACACTGTCCAGGGAGGCACTTCTACAGCTTGAACCAGTAGGTTCGGCCTTCAAGGGTCACACGGGCGCAGGTCGGAATCAAGTCACATGTCAAGTACGCGTCGCTCACATTTAGCGACATTAGGACCCAACCTCGGCTAATGTTCTGAGAAAAGGCTGCTGGAATCACTTTCAACGCAACGCTGGAACTGGCAGGGGAGAAGAAAGTCTCAGTAGGATTCAGGAAGGCATACTCTCGAGCAACGAGGCGTGCTCTTCGAAGCCAAACTTTGTTTCCACCAGTGGTTTTAGGTGGCTGCGATGGTCTTCGAGGGGACCATTGACACCCTCAAGCACGCTCATGCGAGTGAACCTGTCGACCTTGAACAGAGAGGGCCTCGATTCTGAAGCCACAGGAATCCAGGCAATACCAGCGTGGCCAAGGTGGGAGACCTGATGACACCACAGTGAGGAGATCTCAGAGTATGCCCCGTAAATGGGTACAGTCAGACACGCTGCCCCCGACCGCAGCAAGTCAAAGCATCTCATTCGGGGCTGGTACCTCAAGGTCGTTATGGGCAGCCTAGGGCCGCTCCCAAAGTGCTGGCCAACCAGGACATATGGGGAGCCTACGCCACATGTCAGGAATGGGCGCCAGTGGGCCCGCCTCCACCGACGCCAGCCAACCAGGATAAAGGCCCGTGATCTTGGAAGTGCCCTTGGCCTCTGTGGACAGTTGGTTGGCGAGTTCTATGGGACAAGGTTAGTCCGCATTCTGCTGCTCCGGCCAGAAGCATCGCCTACGTTATTAGTGGCACTACAAGTCAATGAACGAATGCAGGATTTCCTGGCCAGGTACCGCTTCCCTCCAGGTTGCATGGACAGGCAATAGCAGAAATCGTGGCGGCAGACCTTCCTGCCCTTGTCACATTAGGTGCATGCAGCCAGCACGTCCTTCACGAGGTCCTGGTGTGCTTTTGCCGTGGGATCTTAATTCATTACGCAGCGCTTTCAGGGCGTGAGCACAGTAGTGCTCACAATGCTTGAGGGTACAGTTCACCGGCGCCGATGGAGGACCAGCCTACTCAGATGACGAAGGCAGGCGACGACTGGACTCCCTCTGCCTGGATTGGCTGATCGCCTGGAGGAAGGCCTACGCCGGCGCCCCTGGCCATGACGAATAAAGCGTGGGCAAGAGCCTTGGGCGCGGACAGACTGCCCACACTGCGCTATGCCCAGACTCTGGCAGATGTGGAACAAGCTCGGTATGATTTCATGGTGCATTCAAACGGGTCGATAATGACCCTTTCGCCACTCAAAGAGAGGCACGTATTTCAAATTTTAATTCCGGCGACGTAGCCAAGCAGAGTTCGGATCCTGCATAGGGGTAATCTCTTTACTTGATTGGCCGCTTGTCATGCTTGTATGCTGATTAGCGGAGTGCATGCGCGGTGTTGGCTTCAGGGAGTGTAGGCTAGCTGATGTTGTCAGTGCGCACAGTCTAGTTGCAGTCTAGCTCTCGAGGGTCCCATGTGTGTCACGTGCATTAGCTACCCTAGTCTGTCCTACTGGTCATAAGCAGTAGCAGTATCAGCGTGCCGAAGTTTCACCGCGTAGAGAGCCAACTAGGTGGCTGTCAGACTTTCGCACGGGACGGTCAGCGCATAAGCCTTGTACCCGCCACTTGCTGGGCAACTCTAGACTTCGCCATGCACAATATGTCAGGCAGCAGCCATACAGTCCCGCAGTCGCAGCAGCACGTCGCCTCAGCCAGCAGCCCTAGCGAAGTGCATCGGGATGGGAGAATGGAGGGGCTAACAGCTGCGGCCTTCGCCCACGCACACCCGGCGCTCCAGCAGCCAAATGGTATAGGAAGCTCGAACTGTCTGGCCGGTTCTCAGCCAGGGCTTCCTTTTAGGCATCTTAATTAGCCGCAACAGGCACATCAGGATATGCACCTGCAAGTGCCTCTGCGGCACGGTCCCTCGCATGGAGGGCAGGTCTCAGGAAGTCCCACACAGGTTCCTGGTGTGTACATTGGCATGTCACATCCCTACTCGTACGGTCTTTCAGGCAGAGTCCAGCGGGTGCCTGATGTTTGCCGTCAACCAGGCCATTGACAGCGACCGCACTCAAATCAGGGGTTTATCCCCGTCCCGCATGGCATAGGGATAGCTGGGAGGATGGGTGGCAACCAACCACTCCAGCTACCAGGATGCAGCAGCAGACTCAGTGTGGGGCAGTGACCCATGGCCGCCGGAGCACACTGTCATACTAAGTTCCAGGCAGGAGCCCGCCGAGCAAATGCCAAGCACACCCCCCTGGAACACACCCAGGGAAGCGCGTCAGCACCAGCCGACTGCCGTGGCCCATGGAACGGAGTGAGTGCCGACTGCCGCTGGGCAAATTGCGCGCTCCTTTGCGTTGTGTGTGTGCCGCTTCGTCACCTGCAGCTGCAG